TCGCCCATGTAAGTTCTGAAAGAACAGAGAGCTGCCATCTCATGGAACTTACAGAACAGGCTCTACAACTGTTATTTGCCAGGTTGCTAGTAAATATTTGTAGGTGTGACAAGAGATGTTCTCTGTTGCTTTCTCTATAAGAAGCGCCCCCTAGAAAGGTGGTTTTGTTGGAACAAACTGTAGGTTGCCCTCTTTTGTGGCTTCTGCAAGTTTCCCCGAAGGCTCACGTGTTAAAGACCTGGCCGCCAGCCTGTTGCACTTCTGGGAGTGGTGGAAACTTTAAGAGAGCAGGCATTCTGGGAGGAAGTTCGGTGCTTAAGGGTGTGTCCTTGAAGGGATAGTGCAGCCCAACCTCTCCCTCTCTCCTTGGCATCCTGGCCTGAAGTGAGCAGTTCTGCTGTGGGCTCCCGTTGTTCTGTGCTGCCTCACCACAGACGCAGAGCAACGAAGGCTGTTCATCACGGACTGAAACTTCTGAATCTATGAGCAAAACAACCTTTTTCTGTTTTTAAGTGATTATCTCAGGTCCTTCGTGATAGTAACAGGAAGCTGACTACCACATCCTCACCAACTTCTAATTTTTGGTGATGACCTATATCTAATAATTCTTAAAAGGACCTAAAAATTGTGAATGGCCAAATTGGCTCAGGTTGTTCATAACATAAATGATCTAAAAAGTGTTTCTTCTTACACCTGCCTACCCTCCAACACAGCTGGCACTGCTCTGAGGGACTGCCCTGGGAAGAGCAGCCACTGCAGGGGATGTCAGCCTGCCTGCCCCACCCGTGAGAACCTGAAACCATGACTACTTGGCCCTGTCCTTGCTGGAGAGAATCTGGCTGCCCGAGCATGGCCATCTCTCCTGGAAGCCAGAAAAGCAAAATAAAACAGAAACCAGGACAAGTTTTTAAAATAGTGCTTTATCATACTTCTGCAACATTAGAGGGTGTCAGACAAGAGGGCTTCAAATGAACTGAAAAGCAATTCCTGAGTCAGTGCAGCAGGCCACAGGCTTGGGTGGGTGGCGTGATGGTAGAAGAGGAAATTTGGAGGACAATGTGGGTCAATATACTGAGCTAAACAATGCGATTACTAAGATATTTTGTGTGCTCATGTGCCAGAAACTATGCTAAGCACTTCTCTGTTTGTTTGTATGCTTATTTTAATGGCACTAGGAATCAAACCTAGGACTTTGCCCCTGCTAATCAAGCCAGTGAGCTATAACTCCCGCCTTATCCAAGAACTTTAAATTTATTATTTAAATCCATCTTTTCAACAGATGAATGAGGGAGGTGATATATTATCATGACCCTTTGATAGAGGAGGGAACAGGTGGAAAGTTGCTTGCCCAAGGTCACAGAGCTAGTACATGGAGGACGAAGGTTGCTGACATAAGAATGTGTGATGCCTGTGGAGCCCAAGCTCTCTATCACCATGTCCTGAAGAACCAGAACCTCAGGCACATGGAGCACTGAAGTCAGGGCAGAAGCATCCTCTGCATCAGGGGGTGAGGGTGCGCTGGGTCCTGCCTGGGAATGGCACGTTTGGGGTGGATGCGACTCCTTCAGTCCCACCGTGTTGCCTGGGGTGGGTGGTGAGGAGTGGCTGGCCTAGCCCCTGATATCTGAGGCACAGAAGACACTAGTGTGGTGCCCTGGGGGCATTTGCTCTTCTTCCCAGGTGAGATGAGAAGCAAGGACTGAACAAAAGCCCCTTCCCAAGACAGAAACAGAGAAAGGAAGGTCTGAAGGAGGGAAATTGGGACTATGGGAAAATAGGACAGGGAATGTTATGGAAGGCAGAGCATTGCCTAGTGCGATGCAGGGCCCTTGGCATTGTTTTGGTCTTCCCCAGGTTGACATTTGGAGCACTTCATTTTGAGTCCTTTAATCATTCAGTTCCTTCCTTGTAAAGTCAGCCACAAAACGTGGCAGTCACGCACCGCTCCTGACGTGGCTGACGAAGATCAGACCGCTCTCCCAGATGCCCTGCCCACTCCTTGTCTGCACTCAGATTGTTAGCACTGTAGTGTTGGTTCAAGCCTCTGGCCCTAATGGTTCTGCTGGTATTTTATTTTTATTTATTTATTTTTATTGGTATTTTAAATGTCACCTCTGGTTATGGAATGAGATGCCTAAGAAATTTTTATTGTCTGTGGAACTGATGGAAAGGAGACATTTGGGAAGAGAAGACAGGGTCCCTTCTCAGGTTAGAAATAATCCCAGTCACAAAGCAGAGGGAGCCCAGAGGTCTAAGCAAGGGTGCCTTTGGCAGCTGTACAACTGTGCCTGCAGGGTGCCAGAGCCAGAGGGAAACTACCCGCAGACACCGCATTCAGAACATCCCCGAGAGGCCCCACCGCACCACACCAGCACATTCCCGAGCCCCAGGGCCTTTCCTATGATGTAAGCACTTGGAACCGTTGCCTAGCCACACCTCTGGGCACCTCCCGTCCCGGGGGAGGGGCCAGACCTCGGGGCCAAGACTAATGGGAAATAAAGCCATCTGCGCCCAACAAGAGAGCTGCGGACTGGCAGTCCTCACAGAATCAAATCAGAGCCAGGCAGAAGTAGAGACTCTCAGCATGTACGCGTTACTAGGGCTTCTGAGTATGGCAGCAAGGACAGGAAAAAGGAACACACGGAGCAACACACTGACAAGTGGTTTTAGGGCCTGGTTTTGTTTGTTAAGCTTATGAAAGTAGAGCTGTTTCACAGGCAGATGGGTGTTTTGTTCAATAGCTTCTTGTTGGTGTAAGTTAGTACACAGCAAAGAAGGTTATTGTCATGGCTTCCGACCCCAGGGATATGTGATCTAGACAAGGAGATAAGACACATGACTATGGTACAAGGCAGAATTTGAGGCACTTGGCAGTACAGGACTCTGGAGGAAAAAGTCACTTCCACCTGGTTAAGAAAAGATTTGCAGAAGAGGTGGGGTTTGCCCTGAGCCTTGAGCCAGCAGCTTTTACGGAAAGAGAGAGGTGCAGGGAAGGGAAGGATTAGCCTGTGAAAGTACAAATGGGAAAAGGTAAGGGGGGCGGTTTAGTCTGATTTACGTCCGGGAAGGAAGAGGCAAACCCTGAAAAGAGCTGGGCCTTGTTTCTCCAGCCGCTCAGTGAGTCTGTAAATGATCCAGATTTTCTGCATAAATACATTCTTGGGCTGCTAAATGAATGAGAATGGACTTGGTTTGTTTGCAACAACAATGTTGTAGGGCATAGTTACAGGAAATTGTGTTTTATAATAAATCATTAGCAAGAGTGGATGAAATGATAATAATAATATTTATTGATCAACTCCTACATGCCACGTCCTTATGAGGTGTTGTTAATGCAACAGGAAACAGCAAAACCCTTTTCCTATGGAGTGTACCAATGAGTAGCTTTCACATTTCACAGATGAAGAAACTGAGGGCCAGAGACTGTAAAATCTGCCCAAGTTTGCACAGTTAGAAAGTGGCAGAGCTAGGATTCCAGAGCAGGAAGCCTCAATTCCACAGCCTGATATTATCACATGTGGGTCATGGTCAGGACTTTTCTAGAAAGACACAGGACCCCACACCAGTCTGAGGATTTGTAAGACACCTGCCTCTCAGAGATATTTAGGAGAGGTTGGTATTTTATTTTATTTTATTTTTTCTTGTTTTTTTGAGATAGGGTCTTGCTATGTAGCTCAGGCTGGCCCTGAACTCTATATGTAGTCCAGGCTGGCCTCAAACTCATGGTAATCCTCCTGACTCAGCTTCCCAAGTGCTGGGACTATAGGCGTGCACATCCAGGGAGGTTGTTTTTGGTTTTTTTTTCTTTAATGTGTGTAAGTATAGAAAGTCATTTACAAAAGCGTAATATGACTCTTCCTAACCCCTTCATTCTTCTTTTCCTTAAAAAAGATTTTCACATCAAAGGACATTATCAAGAATGTACAAGGACAACCTCCAGAGTGGGAGAAACTTGCAAATCATATATTGCATAGGGGGTTAATATACAGAATATATAAAGAACTCTTAAAACTCAACACAGAAAGACAACCCAGTTAAGAAGTGGGGAAAGGACCTAAATAGACATTTCTCCAGAGAAGATGAATAGCTGAAAAACACATGAGAAGTGTTCATTGTCCTTGGTCCTTTGGGAAATGTAAATCACAACTACAACAAGACACCATTGCACACAACCACAGGGGTGGCTAAAATTAAAAGAAGAAGGAGGAGGAAAAAGAAGAGGAAGAGAAAAGAACAAAATCACAAGGGTTAGAGAGGACAAAGAGAAACTGGAACCCTTGTGTATTACAGGTGGCGCATATCAGGGCATGGGTGCTGTGGGAAAGTCGGGAAGCTCCTCAAAAAGTGAACAGAGAGTTTCCGTGTGAGTTAGTAACTCCACTCCAAAGTTGTACCCAGGAAAGCGAAAGCACACATGCACACAGACACTTATACACGCATGGTTTTAGCAGCATATTTAGAACAGCGAAAGGTAGAAACAACCCAAATGATCATCCTCTGATGAAGGGACCAACAGCACGTGGGACATGTGGGAATAATAGTCAGCCACTGAAAGTCTGCAGTTCTGGCACATGCTACAGTACGGGTGAACAAGGGAAAGAGGCTTGTCGAGAAAGGCCGCATACAGTTTCATATTGTATGATTCTGTATATATTCATCATCCAGAATAGGCAAGCCCACTGAGGCAGAAAGCAGATTAGAGTTGCTCGAGCTTGCGGGAGGGAGAAATGGGGAGTGATTACTGAACGGACACAGAGTTTCTTTGGGGCTTGATGAGAAAGAATCTTGAAATTAGAGAAAGCTGGTGGTAACACAACACGGTGAATGCACTAAATGTTGCTGACTTCTTCATTCAAAATGAACAAAATCAGTTAACACTGTTATGTGAATGTCACCTCAATAAAAAGAATGCTCAGTTTAGAAAAAAAAAAAAAAGACAGTTGGAGACAGGTAGTAAGAGGCTGAAAACTAAGCAGCAAAATTTGTGCTTTTTTCTGTAGGCAACAAGGAGCCACTGAAGGACTTTTGGAGCAACAGCCCACAGAGGGTGACAGCAGGGAGGAGAAGTCTGGAGTTTGCAGAGCAACAGGGAAGCCATCGCTGGAGTCTACTCGAGGGCCTGAACTAGCACAGCTGCAGGGGCAGCAAAGAGGAGGAGACAGGCGTGAGAGCCGATTCTGAACCAGCTCTTGGCAGCTGATTGGGTTGGCAGGAAGGAAAGCCAGGAGCACTCGATTTTGAGGCATCGAGCATTGGGCCTGGTACAGGCGGTTGCTTAGGAGGACTTAGTTTCTCTTGGGGTGGGGGTGGGGGGTGGGAGAGAGAAGAAGAAGGAGATGAGTTCAGATCAGTTTAAGCCCACAGGGCTGGGGAGAGAGCTAATGAAAAACTCTCCAAGCAAGAACCACGGCCTGGTTCAGGGGTGCATTCAGATCCCAGGCTCCGCTATTTTCCCAGAGTAGCAGCCCCCAAGTTAGCCTCTATGGTCCCCACCTGAAGAGAGTAGAGCCAAGACCACGGAGACTTCCACCTGCTTTACCCGAAGGAGGGGGAGAGTAGCTGCAGTGAGGTCCCAGCTCCACCACAGAGCACTGTGCCTGCCGCCACTGCTCCCGTGGGTTTGGGGGGACGTGACCAGGCACAGAGACCAGGGACGCAGCTGGAGTAACCAGGAGAGGCTGGCGGAGAGACAGGGACTGGGAACCACCTCCTGAAAGGTGATGGTTGAAGTGAGAATGGAAGAGACCGAGAGGTGACCGCGCGGAGGGCACTGGAGGGGAGGGTATCTCGGGGAACTCAGCTGGAGGGGCCAGAAAGGAGAATTTTAGGGGGTTCATTACCTTTTGAGAAGAGGGAGGGACAGAGCTCAAAGCAGATCCCACAAGCAAATTGGGGGATTTTGCTCCAAGGGTGCAGAGATATCCCGGAGAAGAAGGCGGAGAAGGCTGGTTTGGGGTTCTGAGGTCACTTTAAGAGATGTTTTCACAGAGTGGTCAGGACGTGGAAGACAAAGATGCAGGAGTGCGCGTGTGAGGGAGGAGCAGGCTCCTCAGGGGCAGACGAGTCAGTGAAGAGCTCGCAGCCACATGTGGCAGAACCACAGGCCCTGTTGTGAGAAGCGAGTCACGTCCTTGTGTGAGGGCCACCGGGAGCACTCACACACCGACACGGTGTGGTAGCACACACCTAGGCAGGGTGCTTTCCACCCTGGGGCGTCGGTTGCTGGTGGGAATGGCGTCGCTGTGCAGCGCAGGGCTGTGCTGGAGTAGTGGGGGTGAGTAGGGAGGGAAAAACCAGAGGCTCAGGAGTTCAGCGAGGCACCGGGAGGTCTGTCACTGCTCTGTTAGGGTGACTTGTGTGCAGGCAAGGAGATACCTGCAGGAGAAAGGGAAGGTTCCCAGGGGAGAGAGGAGACTCCCAGAGGGTTCAGGAGGAGAGGGCAGGGCTTCACCGAGCCGGGTGTGGTCTCCTCTGAAAGGCAGAAAGAAGAAATGACAACAAAGTCAGGGATTTTTGGAAGAAAATAGGAGATGTCATTTTAGTCTGAGTTTCTTCCCAAGCAGACCTGAGACAGAATTTGGTGCTATTAGAGTATTGGGGCTTGTGACTGAGGAGATGTCCCCTGTGGACAACAAGGGCTCGGTCTTGCTGAGGACATTTGAGGATGCGTGGAATATGCTGCAGAACTGTCCCCAAGAGGTGAGGAAGGTGGGGTGCTTATCCACAAGCTCCCAGCCCCACCCACAGGGAGAGAATTGCTCCTGGAGTTAACTTTAAGGTAAAGCCCTTGAATAAGGCATGGTGCAGGTAATTTGTCCATAGGTGACCTCCATGGTTGTTGTTGGTGATGGTGGTGTGTGTATGTGATGGGCGGGTCGTTGCCAAGGTTGGCTTATAGGCTAAAAAGTTCTTTGAATCAGGGAAAGGGAATCAAGAGGCTGGTGCCCTGGTATATTTTTCGGGGGAAGGAGAGGCCACACATGCTGGGTACTGAGGAACTTTCTCAGCTGATTTGGCACTGAGGAACTTTCTGGGCTGAACTGGGGAGAGTGCATTGTTGCATAGGAAGCGCTTCTCCAATGCAGGGAGCCAGGCGTGGTGGTGCACACCTGTAATCCCAGCTACACAGGAGGTTAAGGAAGGAGGACCAAAAGTTCCAGACCAGCCCGGATGACTTAACTGTCTCAAAATAAAATTGTAAAAGAAGGGCTTGGGTAAAGTACCTGTGAGTTTGATCCCCAGTACCAGAAAACAAAAACAGAAAGAAACAAACAGCAACAATAATTTTTGAAAAACAGCTCCAGAGAGTGAAGACAAGGGAGAGAGGGATAGGGGAAACAGGTTACCAGTCATGACGAGATTTTATTTCTGACTCCACCAAAGGCACATGATTTGGGGAAAGGTAGTTTCAAGGGAAGATATTACTTTCCAATTACAAGAGAAGGATCCTGGGGAAAGTTAGGATCTATAATTATATAGTTGCTGGAAGTTGGAGACCATTCAGGTATCTCTTGGGTGTTTGTTTAACTTATGAGACTTGGAAAGCAGGAGATCAGACTTTATGGGGTTAATCTTCACGCAAAGCCTCGAGTTACACGATTTGTGCCTCAGTGTCTAGGGAGGCTCACTGCTGATCACCTCAGTAAAATCATCTCAAAGTGGGTGATTCATACCAGCTCACCGGAGATCCACAGGAGCGAGAACCCGGGATGCTGAAGGAGAAGAAGCCTCTGGTAGGTGGCACGATGCCAGCTGGAACCTTCACCCCCTCTGCTCTGGCCCCTGTCCAGTAGTCCTCACCAGGCGCCTCTCGGGCCACAGGCACGGTGCTCAGGGGCCAAACCCCGAGATGGCCCCTCCTCTTTTCAGTCACTGCCCCAACAGCGGGACAAATATCCACCGGATTTATCAGGACCTTGGACTATGTTTATCTTTACGTAGACTGACCTGGGGCACCTGTCTGAGAAGCTTAGAATTGTGCGGATTCCTCGTTAGGTCCACCATGCACACATACAAAGTCTAACACATTATTCACTGCAGTAAAGTTGTGATCTTAAGAGAACCTGGATTAATTTAGTATGATTTATTGTCTAAAAGGAAAAATGCTGCCTCATCCACTTCACAAGGTTCTTGTCAAAATGAGGATGGAATATATTACTACTTCCTCAGCTACTGATTTTAAATTAATTAGTTTAGTTTCCTGGGTTTTTTCCACAGCCTTTCCTTCATTTACCTTCTCAAATAATTTTTTTTCCCAAACCTATGCTCCAGAATTTCAAAGGAATTTATGATCCTGGCTCCCAACCTTCCATTTGCCAGGTCCATCATAAATTTACCGCTAATGATTTGAAATCCATCAATAAGAAATGAAGACGCAGTGGAGCCCTTTTACAGCATGAGGAAGCACAGGCCTCGGCTTCCTGTGGAAGTTGTGTGGGGTGCAGGGTGGTGATGAGGCTGGAGCCCAAGGGGCAAGTGACCCTGGTAAGCTGTGGGACCCGGGTGCATGAGTTGGGCTTGGAGTTTCAGTCTGTCCCTGTGAAATGAGGAAATGCCAAATACTGACACATCTGTAGTGCTAAATACACCACGGGGTGATCGTGACACAAGTTTTGTTGTTTTTAAAAAAATTCTAAAACGTTTAATTGACACAATACTTTGAACTAGTCAGTTAATTGCGGTCAACCACAGCTACCCTACTGTGGTACAGAACTTCGGAAGTTATTCTTCCTCTCCAGCTGCAGTGCAAGTTCTGTTTTTGATTTAGAAGAAGAGGCTAATAGTGAATTTAAGGTAAAACTTTTCAGAAAATATCCCTGCAGGAAGTGCACATCTGTCCAGGGGAAGACAGTGAGTTTGACTATCAGCTGGAAACGCGAGTTGGTCAGGAAGGAGTGGCTTTCGGTGAAAAAGTTATTTTAAAAAATCCATACCTGGCTTGCTCAGAGGCACGGGCCCTAGAGCTTTCTCACACATGAAGCAGTCGCTGTAGTAAGAGTTACTGGGTGGTTTTTCCTGCAGCACAGCCACTTAATGACAGAGCTTTATTTGCCTCCACAAGCCTGCGGTCCCCTTCCTGCTGTGCTCCATTCCCCATTCTTCGTTCTTGGAAATAATAGCACTTACAACACTCACCATGTTCAGGATTGATCCTTGTACTGTTAATATATTACCTCACTTAAACTTTATACTGCCTTGATGAAATAAGTACTGTCATATTCCCATTTTACAGACAAGGAAACTGAGGGCATTCAGAGAACATAAATAACTTGGCCAAAGTCATAGAGCTGAGCTGAGTGTGCTGAGCCACTAGGGCAAACTGCTGCCAGTAGAGATGGTAGTAGCACCTGAAACTGTGACGTCCTTTACATTTGATCCAGGAGGTCTGGTCAGGTGTGAATCAATCACCATGACTCAGTCCCAACATCACACACCCAAGATCCAGCCACCTCTGAAAAGCCCTGCCTACAACCACATGAGGCTTTGACGGGACATCTAGACCCAAGCCGGAGAGTGTATAATGGAAACCGCACTGAATACTTCAAGAGTCCTGCGGTGTCCTTGCGGGACAGAACCTGAACTGGATCTCTCTAGCTTTGACAGCGCTGACCCTGCGGGGTGGGAAAGAGATGGAGGGACACGTGGAAATGCAGGCAAAGGATGGAAGAGGAAGCTGGAGGACAGGGGCGAAGAAAGGACACATGGGCACACATCCCAGGAGCAGGCTTGAAAGACTAACCCGCAGGCACAGCAGGGAGACATGGGGTGGGCGAGGGGAGCTTCCCAGGCTCGCTCCTGATGGACAGGAGGAAGACAGCCTTCCTTGAGAAGGACGACGGACGTCTAGACAGTGCGCCCAGAGGGGGCTGGACGGGCTGAAGACGGGAAGGGCCTCTTGACTGCTTGTCTCTGGCACGGCTGCCCTGCACATTCTGGTTCAGTGCAGTTGGGGTGGAATCTAGAGTCTGTTCCTTAGAAACGCCCTGGATGGCTTTGTACATCACCTGTGGAAATCACAGCGCTAGTCCAGACTGCTGTGGATAAAAACTGAGGGTCGAGGAGATTCGGTGGCACCGAACACTGTGAAGTCAGCGAGCAAAGAAAACTCAAACCCAGGTGTCTTGGCTCCCTCCTCCCTTTCTTTCCTCTCCAACCCGCACCAGAGGGGTGGAGGGGCGGTTGTGAACCCCGAAGGTGAGGGTTCCCGAGGAAAGTGGCTCGTGGGTCTGTCGCGCACAGCACATGCGGCAAGCACACTGCTTCTGCACAGAACCTTAAACACCAACCCAGCAGGACAAAGACAGCAAATCTTACAATGATTGAAAAGACTCGAAATGTGAAGTTATTAGCTGGAAACACAAGCTGCCCGAAGCTGATGGCAGAAAATAAAATAAGAAAACGTGACTAATAAAAATGTGCATTTCATTTACATGCATGCAGCACTTAATTAGATTTTTATAGTTTGACCTTTTTTCATTTTTAAACTCTAGTTAATTTTGGCTGACGTGAGTTTACATGTATTTATATTTGCACTTACCAAATAAATATGCCAGTGTCAGTTTGGACTCCTCTAATCATAGAAGAGAAAGGTTCCATCAGTGTAGTCCTTTAAAGAGAACTCTTCTTTCCCATTTCCCACCAGCATGGGTGTGGCTCTTAAAAGAAATAGCTGTCTATCTATCTATCTAGTGTTCTTGGGATCCAGTAATGCATCCTCACATACATGGAGAATTATTGTTTTGTGGCCATATTTAATCCTTTACTCATTTATCCAATAAGTATTTGCATTTTTCTAAGTATGGAGATACCAAGTAAATTCCTATAGACAGAGACTTTAGTCTCAAGGAACTGATAGTCCTAGGGCAATGAGAAAGCAACCAACAGACTCCGTACAAGTGATTATTATCGAAGACAACGTGGCAGAGAATGTCTGAGTGGGCAATAGAAAACCTATTACTTGAGTTGTTTCTGAAGGATGAGTAAGAAACCTGGAAGAGAAAGGAGAAAAAAAATCCTTCCAGAGAGAGGAAAGTGTGTGGGTGAAGTCCAGGAGACTTAAGTGTTCAGGAAATTTCCAGAAGACCCATCTGACCAGAACACAGGAAGTGTGGTGGAGAATGACAGGAAGTG